TTGGCCAGAGGAACTTTGTAAACTATTTTTAGTAGAATAGAAAAAAATTTAGAGTTGGAAGGTTACATTTTACTAATCATGTGACTTTGACTAAGTCACTTAACTTTCCAAGCCCCATTTTCCTCCTTTGTAAGATAAGTAAACATTACCAAGAATCCAATGAGATAACACACATATACACAGCCCTTCAATGAGCCAGCTCCCACCACTAGGACTGCTCGAGCCCATATCTGGATCTCCAGTGCAAAATAACGTACTGGGAAAGTGCCAGGCACTGAATAAATATAGGATGTTTGATAGTTTCTTGGCAGGTCATGTAGAGGCTACAGGTCCTATAGGACAATAACATGCTTGGTCCTGTTCTAGCAATTTCTGAAGTCATAGATTCTCAGTGATTATACTGGACAGTCTCTGACTTTACAGATGAGAAAGCAGAATAACAATTACATGTTAACTTGTGGCAAAGCAAAACTAAGATCCACCTTTATATTATACCGTGAGATTTGCAGCTGTACTGAATATTAACCATGTTAGTGACAAGATGACTCAAAAAGTCGTTTAAGTCATACTTTAGCTCAGCTTTCTTTTTTAAAATGACCTGTAATATAACTTCTCTTTGTCTTGTTGTTAAAAAAAAAGAAGTATTATTCAAGTCTAGAAACAGGATCTACTCTGATCTGTACAACTGGTTGGTGTTTTAGGCAGAAAGTTGCAGAATCTGTGACTTTTTCCACAAGATATTTGTTTTCTGAATATAAATTATACAAATAGAAAGCAATTCTAGGACCATGATGAAATCCTGTGTCTGTCTGTGTTTCAACATGTCTACAGGAATTTCAAACCCTGTATTTTTAAGGTAAATCTACCTAGAAATTGCAGACAGTGAAGTTCAGTATCATTGAAGAGAGAATGGAAATTAATTTGTTAAAAAAAAGCACTTTGTGCTACATCAGAGTTTCAGCCTATTTAATGGAAATATTTTCTAATTGAATTGATTCATGCTTATGCTTTGCCATGGAGTGGGATAGCTCCATTCCAATGGGGTGTGACTAGAAAAAGAAAACTTCAGCTGAGGTCTGAAGGGCAGACAGAATGTAATAGGTAAAAAGGGAGGAAACAGATTCTACGGAAAGGTAAGAGCATGTGCACAAGCCCTAAAGGCTGAAGTAGCAGTCAGGTACGGGGCAAAAGTAGGAAAAGCAAGGCAGGGTGGTGACAGCAGGGAGCGCAGAGAAAGACAGGAGCGCAGAGAAAGACGGGGGCGCTGAGTTAGGGAGGACGAAGGGAGGGTGATCACCGTGGGCCAACCCCCTCTCACCTCCAGACTCAGCAAGTATCTCTTCTGCTTGAGGCTTTTCCTGATGCTCTCCTTTACAGAGCTGTATTTCTGACCTGGGTGGCCATCTCTGTGCATATATTCCTATTACTGCTTCAGTGGATTGCAATTATTTATTATTTCATATCAATTTCTACTAGTAGACTCTGAGTTTTCTGAGGACAGGTACTATGCAATATTTATGTTCTTTCCTCCTAGTAGCATGCCTGACAGATATTAAATATATGGAAATATTTTCCATAGGAATCAATTGATCGATCAGGTTTGGTCTTTCATTAGCAAACACAATTGTCTGTGCTTAAAGCACCCCACAGAAATGGTCTGATTCTATACATGCAAAGGAGTTCGAACCACTGGGTAAAAGAAATAGTCTAAATACAAAGTCTAATTCAGATACAGGGGATGAAAATTTCCTAAAATGTATATTCCAGGAGCTCAGAGACCCATCATGTCTGGTTCAACACTCTGTGTGTGAAGTAATGTACAAAGTCTGAATCACAAAGCTATTTACAGAATGAATAAACATAATGAAATTTCTGAGATAAAAATGCCTTAACCCGAATCTAGATTTTACTAATAATTTTCTTGTGAGTAAATAACTTAGATTGCATAGCTGTCTTTTTCCCATCAGTGGAAATTAACAGAAGTATAAAATTCAGTTTGAGCTCACAAAGAGATCTAAAGCAGAGCCAGTGAAGGCCGCTAATTACAGGTAAGGAGTGTTCACTCCATCTAACCACAACTGCTCTCACAGAATTCTAAAGGGAAGGTCAGTCTCAGTGTCAGGTATAACGTAACAAAGACTCAGATACAGATTCTGATCAACATAGTTTGTGGGTTAGTAGTTACATGACATAGTAAATTAGACTGAGGTTTAAAAAAGACAGATATGTTATAAAGACCTAAATAAAAGTATTTTAAAAGGAATAACTTTTTGTTATAAAAAGAGATCCTTTTAAAACTTACTGGTGTGTCCATGGGCATATATATTTATGCTAATATTATATCAAAGAAGAGGTAGAGTGAAAAATATAAAATTGCCAAATATTATGAATGAATTCTACACAGCTATTACTAAGTCACTTAGTTTTATGGTGAATATAGTCATTTCAGATTAAGACTTGTAAGCTCTTCCAATAAAATATTAGTCCCTTAGCAGATGTGATGTCTTAGTCTGTAAGATTAGAGAAGAATCTCAGTAAATACTTGAACAATAAGTGAATAGAAAGGGTCTGTATGCAGCATCTTCCTATCCAACTCTCAGGCAAAAATATCACAAGGAAAATCAATCCTCCCTTGACTCTGCAATTTGAAGTAGCCTCTTAGAAATATGGGATATCGAAATTATTTCTGCCAAATTGTAAGTAACTCTTGGGTACTTTGACACTGGGAAGAGGGTGTCATTGATTTGGGCCTGCTGTGCTACAGCATTTAGTGATGATTCCATCCACGCTTTGACGGATGGAAAATAACTAAGTGAACTAAGAGGACGAGCGCTCTTCATTCCATTGAAAACGAATGTTAAGAACCAGACACTAACTTGACCATTAGGTTTGCACAGGATTGTCGTACAATCTGGACTTGTTATAAACTTGTCTTGTTCCTTCCAAAGGAAATGTGATGGTGGCTCATGCTTTGCTTCAGATGTTGCAGCCCACACCTGAAAGAAAACAGTTTGCTCATGACAAACGCCACTGGAATTCAACACTGCTTTGTAACTGTCAGAGGGGTGCTGCCACGTAATCTTTCTGAACAGATGAGGTTTCACAGCTTCACGACTGTATACTATATGATTCTGAGCTATGGAACACCAAACAGCTACCGTACAGGTTTAAAGGAAAGCAGGAGACAGACTGGGAGTCTGCCAGGATCACTCTTTCAAGGATTATATTTAGAAATTTCATTTTAATAGTCAAATTTAAAAAACTGAGATCACACACCAAACTGGAGAAAGCTGTGGACATTTAACTATGGGTTTTAAAAATCTATCCACTTATTTTTTAGACACTCTGTTTTCTGGGCCAGAGCATAGTTCAGAGCAACGTCCAACTCCCGGGCTCAAGCGATCTGCCTCAGCCTCCAGAGCGGCTGGGACTACAGACATAGGCACCACCACACCCAGCTCGTTTTTCTATTATTAGTAGAGAAGGGGTCTCTTGCTCAGGCTGGTCTGGAACTCCTAAGCTCAAGTCATCTTCCTGCCTTGGCTTCTCAGAGTGCTGGGATTACAAGTATGAGCCACCATGCCTGGCCAGCTATGGGTATTAATTTACATCCAGATACTGAACAAGGTAGCATAAGTAACCAACAATGACAAAAAATCACATTTTCCGTACAGTTTGAGTGTCGGTAGGGCAGGTGCTGAGCCACAGGCTGACAGTGTAAATGAGTTTTTCCTCCGTAATTCTAGTTCATGGCATTTAAATCTTATACTCACTGTTACTGTGGTATTGGCCTGCATTGTAATATTTGGAAGGAATTGGTACAAAGAAACTCTCTGTCCATTCACGTTTTGCTGGAGAATGTAATTGCCAATTCCGACTTCTTTGTCAAGGGAAGAGTTAATGAGCTTTACAAACAAACCCTTGATATGCACTTCAGCTATTTTAATATCTCCAAGAGAACTAGAAAATAAAGCACAAAGATTATAAGGTGACTTCACAAAGAAGCGTCATTGGCTCACTCTACGAATGGAATATTGAACATGTTTCTGAAGTTTTTCCTCAACTGTATGTTCTATTGGACAATTTTACACAGAAAGAGCGTATTGTGTAACCTAAGACGAATGATTTCTTAGTTCTGTTCCTTTATCAGTGCAATAAAATTATTTCACATAAAATAAGTAAATGAAACCTAAAACGTACTTTAAGTGTCAAGGTATAGAATAAATGCCACAGGAAGGTGTAATTATAATTATTTAAATTTCCTACTGTTCAACATAACATCACTGAAACACGAAACTCTTCAAAGTAGGTCAAGTAGTTTACTTCTGAAGAATATGGCTGAGAAGATGAACTACAACTATGTGACTAAAGGGATTTTGAAAAGGGAACATTATTACATGAACACAAGATGGTATTATTTTACTTTTTGAGTTGTGTTGAGAGGTTAGTGTGTTGTAGGCATCAAGATAATCATTCACATATCAGCATTTTTCAGAGTAGAGGTCACAACCTATTAGTAGATCGTGAAATCACTTTGGTGGGTTAGGACCAGCATTTTAAAAATAAAATATATCTCCACCAATAATAATACCCAATACTACTCATGTGCCAGGTACCTATAATAGTATGTATTTGTATCTTAACCTCTATTATCTATCTTTATAAATCCTTCTACAATTTCTTATCCACAGTTCCAAAATCTAAAAAGCTCCGAAAAACCAAAAAAACCAAAAAACTTTCTTTTTAAAAACATATTTGAAGCAAAACCTGGGTCCCGACTGAGGTGAAACTATTTATAATCTACATTAGTCATTTGTGTGAACATTGGTATGTTTTTCTACAGAAAAATTAATGTTTGATTTTTGATGCTTCTCTATGTCATTACGGGGAGTTACACAGTATGTGTTCTGGGCTTATTATGTTCCTAAAATTCATCGTATTTTGAATTTGGAAATACAGTGTATATATAAAGCACCAAATATTTTGGTGAAGGCAACTTGTAGTAACTCATCTAATTCTCACAATTCCATACACATTTTTCATTGAAACATTTCAGTGTATTTCTTATTGAAGGTTATGACCCCCAAAATGTGAGGAACATTGAGTTGGTACATTTAATCCTCACAATAACCCAGTGAGACAGGTGCTATGTTAAGTCTCATTTGTAGATGGGGAAACTGCCGTTTAGAGAGATTAATTCCCTCATCTCTCTCATCATCTCTGGGGGACAGGTAGGGGCACGCTGTTTCTCCAGTCTCATCCCCTCCTCTACTTGGTTCCACAGCAATCTCTGTATGATCAAAACCTGGTGCTGCCACTTCCTTGCTGGAAAGCCTTCAGGGTCTGACCATTCCCTTCCAGAGAAAACATGAACATCACAAGGCTCTATGCAATCTGCCAGCCTCTTTGATCCCTTTTTTCCTATTTCCTCTGTTATCCCTAAACTACCACCATGAAGAATCCCCTGTAAGAGCATGATTCCTGCTGTTGTACACCCACTGCCTGCACACCTGCTATTCCCTCTGTTTTTTCTCAGGATTCCTATTAATGCGTCACATTTTCAGACTGTTTTCTCACTTCCATGGGTACAAAACAGAATCTCATTGTTAATTCTGTCTGTCTCTGATTATGGAGCAGTTGAACAAGCTACTTACTGGCCACTGTTTTTCTTTTTTAAGAATTGCCTGTTCATATTAATTTGTTTACTTTTCTATAGGTTTGTTTTCCATTTTTATACTAATAGCTAATTTTTGGTATTTATAGTATAGTAAATATATATGCACATATTTTCTGTAAGAAGAGGCTTTTGTTAAGAAAAAAACACTTCTGCCTCTCATGGTAAATTTTAAACTTCTAGGACGTCTGCCTTACCCACTCAGGAGCTCCGTGTTGAGTGCATAGAGACCTCTAATTGCTATATCCTCTTGCTGAACTGACTCCTTTAGCATTATACAGTGACCTTCTTTATCTCTTTTTACAGCATTTGATTCACTGTCTATTTTATCTGATATAAATGTCATTGCTTTTGCTTCTTTGTGGTTTCCAGTTGCGTAGACTATGTTTTTCCACCTTTTCCCTTTCAGTCTGTGTGTGTCTTTACAGAAGTGGACTTCTTGGAGGAAACGTATAGTTGGATCTTGTTTCTTTATCCTTTTAGCCACTCTGTGCCTCTTAGTTGGAGAACTGAGTCCATTTATAGTCAGTGTTATTATTAATAAGTAAGGACTTTCTCCCGCTATTTTATTTGTTATTTTATAATTTATCCCTTTTTCTTTGTTCTTACTGTCTTCCTTTGTGGCTGATTTTTCTCCAGAAGTATGTTTTAATTTGTTGTTTTTTTATTTTTGCACTGTGGTTACCATGAAGCTTACAAAAAACATTTTATAAAGATAACAAGTTATTTTAGACTAAGTTAACTTATCTTAGATCACAAAGGGAAATTGAAAATACCATTACACCTTAACTTTATCCCTTCAACATTTTGATGATGGATTTTCTCAATGTGCATTCATATTTTATATTGCCTACCTCGTTACAGATTGCTATAGCTATTATTGCCTTTGACAGAGTTGTCTGTTGGGCTTCATGCTGGAGTTATCAATGGATTGCACTGCACAATTATAGTATTAAATTATTTTAACCTTACCAGTGGGTATTGTACCTTCAGATGTTTTCTTTTTGCCCATTAGTTTATTTTATTTTTTTTTATTTTTAGCATTTCAGGTAGTCTAGGAAAGACTATCTTACCCTCATGGTTGAAAGATAGCTTTGCTAGCTATCGTATTCTTGGATGATAATTTTTTTCTTTCAGTACTTTGAAAATGTTGTCCTACTCCCTCCTGGCTTACATGGTTTCCAGTAAGAAGTCTGATGCCAGATGAAGTTCCTTTATATGTTATTTGTTTATTTTCTCTTATTACTTCTAGGAGACACTTTACGTCCTTGATTTTTGAGAATCTGATTATTGTATGAGTAGTTTACTTCTCTGCAGCCCAGGACTGTCTCATCCTCATATTTGATTTCTGGCATATTTGTGGAGATAATTTTGCCACTGTAGATCTGCTTTTTCTAATTTTTTAACCGGAAGAGAGGGGGCAAGTAAAGCTAGCTTGCTTCTATGCTACTATTTTTTTCTGACTCCATTTAAACAGAAGCTTTTTGTGAATTTTTGCCACAAATAGCTCATCATTTTAACATGGTAGGTACTCAATGAATGATTTGATGAGGTTTTTTTTTTTAATATAGTTGAGCAAATACTTAGGTTTTCTGCACAGTTAAATGATAACAGGACACAAGTGATTGATATTTAGGAAACATGATATAAGGGTAAAAAATGTTTCCTTCATACCTGACCCTTAACTCTCATCAAAAACTTCTTTTAGCTTTCTAACACCCTGTGTCTCCACATGCTTATTATTAACATTTCACAATTCAATGTATTATTCACATAATAAGTAAAGCAGGGAAGAGATGAGTTAGCTCTTTTATTTCAGTCCTAATATTAACTTTCTTTCTGATCCATTCATTTTACCACAGATACTAACAGCCATAAAAATGGATCAGTGAGGTAAAAATTAGTTTCTTTCCTTCTATCTTGAACTAAAGAGCCTACAAAAAGAATAAAATATATTAAATTCATCTGAATAATTCACCAACAATAAAAGGTCCCTGAGTAGCTACAGCGACCCCGTTTGTGGGACTGGAGCCCTGTTTTCTGGCACCTTTCAAAAATTCACACGCTGTGTTTGGTTCCCTAGAAAGTTGTATCAATTGGTTTTAATTACTTAGAAGATGAAATAGTTTTATTTCAACGAATGCTTAGGGTTTTAGATAAAACCATGCATATAACAACTGACTAGAACTTTATCTTTTGGGTCTGACCCCCCAAAAGATATTAAATAGTTCTAATAGACTGGGTACCTGGATGTAGACTGGCCAACTTCTTCAAGAATCATGGAAAAGTGTCTGTAAGATGTCCTGGAGCGGCTTGGGTATGCAGTAAGTTTCTTTGAATTACCAAACAAAGAAAGGAAATAATCTTCTCCTTCCCCGATCATAGTTGACTCAGAACCAAGGCTTAACAGAGACTGTTTTTTCATACCTAATAAGCTGCTGGCTTTCAAAAACAATGAGGAAAGCAACCAAGAGAGAAGTAAATAAGAGGACATTAAAAGAACCTAAAGCTATCATCTTTAATCCCTGCTTTTACAAAACTGTATTCTTTGTACATTTTACTGTCACTGTCACATACTATGAGAAAAGTTAGAAACTTTAGACAAAGGTGTACAAAATAACCACTAAGTGGATATTTTTAATGACATCCTCAATTTCTGAGATTATTTCAGTTATCTTAAACTATCAGTTATATCATCAGCATAATGACTATTGGAAAGCTTGTTCAGCTGCACTAGAAGCATCATCAGTTTTTAAGTAGGTAAAACATTTGAGTCTGTCAAATTTGAATATGTTATGTACAACAATAGCCTTATTCTAGTTCATATTTTCTTTACTTCCCAGATTATGATCCCTAAATTAAGGTCTTAAATGATTTCTTATTAGTAGTTATTACTTTTGCCAGCTAAAGACTTAAACTTCCTCTAATCAACTAAAATACGTTATTAGAAAGAAAAAGTAACACTTAATTAGATTCTAGTGTCTTAGAAGTTTGTCTTTTTGAAATTCTCACTAAAATTCAATACAACATAGTTTTCATGACTTTTTTTTTTTTTTTTTGCCGGGGCTGGGTTTGAATCAGCCACCTCCGGCATATGCAGCCAGTGCCCTACTCCTTTGAGCCATAGGCACTGCTCAGTTTTCATGACTTTTTATAGGAAGAGCCCTTCTGGGTGATTATAATAATGTGTCTGCAGCAGAAGAGTTACACTATAAAGAGGCAATATGGAAAAATGGACAGAGCACTGTGCCTTGGATTTAGACAGACCTGCAATTGTATTCCAGCTCTGCCATTTACTAGACAAGTGATTTAAACTTTACAAGCTTCAATTTTCCTGAACATAAAATAAGAACAATACTACTACTTTGTATAAGAAGATAAGAGGATTGAAGATTAATGTCGGTAAGTGTCTAGCATAATGTTCAGCATTTATTCAATAAATGATAGCTACTATTACAGTATAAGAGCTTTTGATTAATATAACACTGGTTCCAAAATCTTCAGAGAATTAACACAATCTGGAGTTTGCTTTATTTTTATATCTTCCACAAAACCAAAACAAAGTAAAAGATTTAAAGGGATAAAACCATAGTTCTTCAGGAAGATTCCTTAAAGTATTTATTGAAAAGAAACATATGGAATTCAGCAAGTTCATTGCCAGTCAAGTATTTACTTAATTCTTAAATTCCTTTGGGAAAGAATAATAAACAGTATTCTCCTTAATAGCTCATCCTGAAGGTTTGAATACAAACCCTTTGTATTCTAAAAGGAAAGAAGACCCATTAATTCTGGTCCCAATTGTTGTTTCATGTAGAACAACAGATGGCAATGCCACAAGTTTTCATGGACCTAGACATCAACCTACATTAACTGAAGGACCCTGTCCCAATTCAGATCTTATCTTGCAAAGGGAAGCCACTATATTTGGTTTCCCCCCCATTACTAAGATCATTCACAGTTTAACCCAAATACAAACCATATGTCATGATGATTTAATGCCAAATGATAGAAAATCTTCCCTTGCTAGATCTAACATTTGTATTTACATTTTTAAGCATATGGGTTTGGGTGATTGCTAAAGGTCAGTGTAAACTTTGGAGGTTTCTTTGGAAATTTTATCTTAGCCATACAAACAAGAAACATAGGAAATATAACTATCACGGCAGTGGAACAAAACCCTATATAACACTATGTCAAAACCTTAGGAAAGGAACAGAAACAAAATCAAAGATAAATGAGAGGCAGCCAGGCTGTAAATATCTGCAGAAAGACAGAGGAGAATGGAGACGTCAGGTAGTCATGGCAGTGTCTGTGCTACCAGTTTAGAAACTTGTTAGTAGACTGGTAATCAACATAAAGACCCCCAAATCTAGCCTATTCTAGAAGAAGGTGATTATAGGCATGTTCAGATTCACAACTAATTTTCACTGAGTACTTATTAAGCATTAGGTGATTTTCATAAATATCTCATTTAATCCATAGGATAGCCCTGTGAAGTTGATCATTTAACCCCCACTTTGTCGTAGTGGAAAATGAGATCTAGACAAGATGAATACCTTACCCAATACCTCACGTTGTAGAAGGACAGAAAAACAGTAGGTCCTGTGTTTACAAAGACAGTAATGTCTTCAGTAAACCAGGAAAAAATACCCTCAAGCATCATGGTAAGAAACAACACCCTACAGTGTGGGTATTACTCAGTACATAGTTGACAAAAGTCAAAACTTTACTTTTTCCTACCATGGTACTGTTTTCATTTTCCTCTCCTTCGAATTTTCTTTATTGTTTTTCCCTTTCCTCTCTATCCTCTTATTACCTGTTTTATAGTTCCTCTTTCTCTTATCCATCTATTCTTTACTTGAGTCTAAGTCTCCTAAAGGCATGAAATACACAAGATGTTGCTTAATGCTGATAGCATGCAGAGGGAGATCATTTAAAGCTATACAGTGGAATTTTTAATTGTCTAGAAATTCTACAGCATGTTAGTAGTCAACCTACCAATCATCATGATAACTCAAGATATCTTAATAGTGGGGGGAGATATATTTGGGCATATGCATTTATGTCACCTGAATTTGTCTTTAGTTCCAAAATCAATGATGAGTACAATAAGTTACCCTGCATATGACACTAAGAAATTAGCATTATTATGGACAAATAATTTTGGCTAAGAGGCATATATGGAATCTATTGAAAAACATGGTTTTAAAATAGTCTAAAAATACTTGGTACATATTTTGCTTACCCAAGCTGCTTGTCTGCAAATAGCTCATGGTACCTTTTGAGGTAACTGATCCAATGGTTGAAATCTTTACTCCACTAATCTGAGAACGAGGCAGATAGTCATTGCGCGACCTTGCAGAGAATAATGACTGTGAAAGTGGTAGTGATATAGAGTCTAAATTTGTCGTCGATGGAAAAAAACGTACTGAAGATGGGTGTATCACGAGGGGAACTCCCACTTTGTCTCCTCCTCTGTGCACAAAAATAAAGCCAAAATAGCTATGAGTACAAAAAGCATAGGCGATTATTATTAGTCTATCTACAAAAGGAGTTCTGCTTTTCATAGGTACTATGCCTCTAACATAAGCACAATAATGTATTTCTAGTTTCAATAATGCAAATAAAACGCCTTAGTGTCAACTTATTTCATGCTTTGCTCTTTTTTCTATTTTTAAAAACTAATAAATGGGTGGCACCTGTAGCTCATTCAGTAGGACGGCGGCCCCATATACTGAGGGTGGCAGGTTTGAACCTGGCCCCAGCCAAATTGTAACAACAACAAAAATAGCCGGGTGTTGTGGCAGGCACCTATAGCCCCAGCTACTCAGGAGGCTGAGGCAAAAGACATGCCTAAGCCCAAGAGTTGGAGGTTATTGTGAGCTGTAATGCCACAGCACTCTACTGAGGGCAACACAGTGAAACTCTGTCTCTAAAAAAATAAAATTAAAATAAAAATTAAAACTAATAAATTTTCATTGTAGATGATTTTGAAATGTGTATAAGTAGAAAAAGGAAAATAATAATCATTATAGTGTCACCAACTAGAGACTTTACGTCTCTTTCCAGGCTTTTTAATGTATTTTTCACTGAAAGTTGAGACTTTATATACAATTTATACTGCATTTTTATCGCTTATCATATTTCCACTTTACATGAACATAAAGGACATTATTATAATCCCTGTTTAATATGTCATTGTTTCCTGTACTTTTCTCCTTTGATTCTTATTGCTGCTTAACTAATTTTTCTGTATTAATAAAGATTCTATAGTTAACATTTGCCTTTAAATAAACTCTTGCAAGTGTGTGCCTGTGTGTCGGAGGGAATAGCAAAAAGGGAAGGACAATTTTCAGTTACTACTTTTGTAAGTGATTCTTACTGTGAACAAAGATTTTCCTTTATTTTTATAAATATAAAAGCATTTTGTGCACAATAACTTGAACAAGGCTCCTATAATAACAAACAACAATTTTGTAAGTTAAACCATACTCTCATGATACGGGTCATGAAAGGCTTATGACGCTCCATCTTCTCAGTCACATCGAGACTCTTCTGAATGATCTCAAAGCAAACCCTGTGTCTGTGTACATGTCTGTGTGTGTTGTGTTTAATGCTTAAATTATAAACAACGTACTGGAGGCCAAAACCCTTTCTATCTCTGAAAAACTGGACAAATGGACAATTAAACTATCCTCTTTCTGGGAGCCACATATCTACTCACTGTAAGTCAGGAGGTCAATTTTCTGCTCCTATGGATTATCTCCATTTTTATCTATTTCCAGAGGTCTCATAAAGTTCCCTAGTCCACCATCTTCCAGATGTGATCCTCAATATCTTTGTTTACTAAAAGGTATTAACAATCACTTTGTTCTACAATTTGAAAGTTTCCTCCTTAGAAATCTTACGTCAGAGAGATTTGTCCTCCAAACCAGTCTGCTCTAAATGTACCTCTCACAAGGCACAGACATCTCAGGCAAAT